CTGCCTCAGCCTCCCAAAGTGCTGGGATTACAGGTGTGAATCGCTGTACCCGGCCAATGTTAGGTAATTTAAACCACAATTTTTGTCAATAAAAAATAAAGTATTATTTGTGAATCTGGATTTTAAAAAACAAAAAGCAAACTAAAACTATGGTATTGGAATGTCATGCCATCGCTTGATAATTGTCAGAAAAACCATAAAGATAGATATTGATAACTTCTAGTGTTGGCTCCTCTGAACTGCAGTGGGGTTTCATTTGTATTTATTTTCTACTTCCCACAACTCCTTGTAAAATGCTACCATGTAGTTAGTCAATAATTATTAACTGATATATAGAAACTAGCCATTTATTAATATAACAGATGATGGACAAACTATAAATGGATTGTATCCAAGTCCAAATCAGAAACTGTATTAATTTTTTTAAAAAAACTGTCATAACTCAGTTATTTTAAAACAGTATTTTAAATTTAAAAAGAATGGAAACTAATGATCAAATTATATTGATGCCGAGGTTACATTAGCAATGAAATTTTAAAATATTTTGCCAGGAACAGTGACTCACATCTGTAATTCCAATACTTTGAGGGTCTGAGGCAGGAGGACTGCTTGAAGCCAGGAACTGGAGACCAGCCTGAGCAATAAAAAATTCTACAAAAAAATTTAAAATTAGCTGGGCATGGTGACGCACACCTGCATTCCCAGCTACTTGGAAAGCCAAGACAGGAGGATTGCTTGAACCTAGGAGTTGGAGGCTGTACAATGATCTATGATCACATGCGCGTAGGTGACAGAATGAGACACTGTCTCTAAAAATAAATAAATAAATAATTTTAAGAATTTTTTTTATTTTTAAGTCATTGCTCTTTATTCAGTGACTGGTCTGTTATAAACATTTTAAATGAATGAGTCAAATTTCTTTATTTGAAATCTCTCTGCCATTTCACATGGCTTCCTATTCTAATTAGAATAAAACACAAACTATTTTACCAACCCTATATAAGATTATATAAGATACAGTTTTAGCCTCCTTCTCCAACATTTTTCACTATATTTCAGCCATACATTCCCTTTAAATGGAGATCTCTCCCACTGAGAATGTCACAGCATTTGGGATTTCAATTTAATTTCTACCTGCACAGAAAAGCCACCTCTTAATCCATATTTATAATAACTTCTAGTCACTTCTGCATTACTTGTTGACCATACCCAAATGGAGAGGCAAGCAGTGGCAAGCATGGTAATATAAGGCATAATCCAGGACCCTTCCATCTAGTAACAGGTGACTAGAACAGGAAGAGCCAGCAGTCTCACTAGCCAAAGAATTCTATACAAAGTAAACATGGTGACTAGATAAACTATCGGTGTCCAACTCTCCTTCCCATCTCCCTCATAGTTTCAATAGTCAATGGTACCAATTTAGAAGAAGCAGACCTTGAATCACCTATCAAAACAGTAGAGCATAAGTGTTTATCAGAATCACATATGTAGCTTTAGAAGAAAATACACAAGCCTACAACCCCCATTACTAAAGCAGTCTGACTGACTGAACACATCTGAAGTAGGGCCCCACAGACAATTCTTACTACTGCCTCTAGTTGAGAACCACTGCAGGGGTGGAGTAGTTAGAGCTCCCTGGTTTCCTAAATGACTGCCCATTTTCTCAACCACACTCTGTCTTCCCAATACCTTGTTATGCAGCAGTTGGGATTGTTATGTCACTTACCTTCCCATAATAAATCTCTATTACTTGAGATAACTTAAACCTATCTCTCTGCCTTAAAACCTCAACAATATATTATCTGACTTGTGGCATGAAAGCCATGTATCCAGATGTTAAAAATAATCACCAGACAAATGTTCTTCCTTGCCACATTTGGCCCAATTTTTCTAGACATTGTGATATTTATCAATCTTACACCCAAACTTCAAATGAAACCACAGACAAGAAGCAAAGAAGAAAAGCATTTGCATTAACAAAATCAAGATTTTAGTTAATAAAATACAAGGGAAACTCATGTATTTTACTCCCAAGAAAGTTCCCAAAAATTCAAGACTTAACTTCACTCAATTCCAATAAATTTATTTTCCAAAAACCCAACCTCAGGAACCTCAGGTTCTTTTTTGAAAAGCAACAACCAAGAGGAAAGTGACGGAGTGCTACAAACAGGCATGACACCTAAAAGAAATTAAAAATACATATACACATTTTTTCAAAGAAACAGATTTTTAGGCATTTGTCAAACCCATAGAACTGAAATCATAAAGAATGAACTTTAATGTACACAACGTAACCAAACAAAAAAATTTACCAGTATGTCAGGAAATCCTAGGATGAAATATAGATAATGACAAATGAATCTAATTGTATTACAAATACAAGATAGAACCTCACTGAAGGGAGTGGGGAAAAAAGCTGCTATAAAGTTTAGTAACTTTCCAAAGTTACTTAACTTTGGGGAATGATGTTTGATTAGAAATTATAAGCAAAAGTCACAAAAGCTGTATAAAAACTTATACTCTAGTTGGTAAATTTGTTTCAATCAGAGGCATAGGTTAACAATTCTAAGCCTGTTTATCATGTATACTGGCACTTAACAAATGGGTAAAATGAACAGTAGATGGTGGATGGGAGCTAGTTTTCTCAATGTTGAGGAAGGAAGTTATAGAGAAGTACAAGGAAAATAGTAAAATGAACCTTGTGGTACTGGATTCGAATTGGAGAAATGAGTACAAACTCATGTTAAGTTTAATATACATAGGCTGGACGCAGTGGCTCACACCTGTAATCCCAGCACTCTGGGAGGCTGAGGCGGGCGGATTACCTGAGGTCAAGACCAGCCTGGCCAACATGGTGAAACCATCTCTACTGGGAAAAAAAAAATACAAAGATTAGCTGGGTGTGGGGATGGGAGCCTGTAATCCCAGTTACTTGAGAGGCTGAGACACAAGAATGGCTTTAACCCTGGAGGCAGAGGTTCCAGTGAGCAAAGATTCTAACTCCAGCCTGGGCGACAGAGCAAGACTCTGTCTCAAAAAGGAAAAAAAGTTTGATACACATATAAATGCATAGATACAGAAATAGAGATATGTGTGTACATAAGTTACTACAAATAAATATAGTTACTGTCTCTACCCCAACAGGACTTAGAAGCAGTGACATCCAGTAGTCATAAACACATCCAGTGCCCAAATCTTAGTTTCTAAATACCATTTCCGAATAATAAAAGAAAGCAAGGCTCCTTGGAGGAACAGCACATTCTATCCACCGGGCAGAAAAATACAAGATGAGTTTGGAGCATCTTGAAGAAAGCAAGGGAGTGCTTAAAAGTCAAAAAAATGGAACATGCCAAAAGGATTCAAGTACCAACCTAAAAATACTCCCAATAGCTAAGGCTGAAAAATTCTGAGCAACAAAATAGTGTGGGATTGGATTACCTTCCAAAGTACAAAACAAATATACATGAGTCCATACTGATATAAATAAGTTGAGTGGGGGAGGGGCAGAGAAAACCTTCCTTAGAGAAGAATTCGAGTAATATATGTAGATATTTCCTCATCCAAAAGAGTGGGTTGGACTTTAGCAACTCATAACCAAAGAACAGAATATGGGAAGAGGAAGATAGCAACTTTACAACAGAGAAAACTGGCAAACACTCACTACCTTAACCAAACGAACAAGGTTAACCTCACCAACAATAATTTCACATAACCCCAACTTATAATGAAGCCATTATACCTCTGTGATATTCATCCCCAAAACCAGTAACTCCAATCTAGTTGGGGGGAAAAAAATCAGACAAATGCAAATGAAGGAACATCCTACAAAATGCCTGACAGGGTTTCTCAACACTGTCTTGGTCATGAAAAATAAAGAAAATTTAACAACTTGTCACAGATCAGAAAAAACTAAAGACATGATCACTAAACACAATGTGGAATCCTTGATTAGATCGTAGAGCAGAAAAAGGATATTAGCGTAAAAACTGGTGAAATCAAATAAAATCTGGAGTTAATTGTACTGACCAACTACTATTTTTAGTTTTAACGAATGTACCATGTAACAGTAAGGTGTTACTGTAAGATGTTAACAGTAAGGGAAATTGGGTAGGAATATATAGAAATTCTGTACTACTTGTAACTTTGCAGTAAATCTAAAACCATTCCAAACTAAAAGGTTATTAAAATAATAATAAACATGAATAGTACATAAATCTGAAGTCATTTAAAGAGCAGGCAAATATCATGAAATTCCTCACTAAATCCTGACAGTGTCACTATTTTCCACCACAGAAAAATATGGTCCCCATTGGTTTCTTAAGAAAATAAGAGATACGTATTTCCAAGTCCCTAAAATAAAAGCTATAAACTATAAAAGTGTTTACCTAAAATAATTAACAAAATGATTTTTAGATAATTATAAACAGCAAGGATTTTAATCTTATTCATTTACACATTTATTTATTTATTTAGTGAGATGGACTCTTACTCTATCACCCAGGATGGGGTGCAGTGGCACAATCTCGGCTCACTGCAACCTCCGCCTCCCGGGTTCAAGTGATTCTCATGCCTCAGCCTCCTGAGTAGCTGGGATTACAGGCGAGCGCCACCATGCCCAGCTAATTTTTATATTTTTAGTAGAGACAGGGTTTCACCATGTTGGCCACGCTGGGTCGTGAACTCCTGACCTCAAGTGATCCATCCACCTCAGCCTCCCAAAGTGCTAGGATTACAGGCATGAGCCACCACACCCGGCTTACATACTTATTTTCCACCAGAAATTAGTGTTGCTCCCCTTTACGTGGATTTAACAATTGTTTAGAATCACATGTATTCATTTATTAATAGAAAATGTCCTATTCCACAAGCAATTGTATACACAAGAAGCCCTCATACATATGTAATGTTTAACTTAATAATCCAGCAGAAAAAAGTTATTTATGCAAAACCTTTACTAATAAATATAACTGGCTTCACCAGCCAGGCACAGTAGTTCACACCTGTAATCCCAGCACTTTGGGAAGCCAAGATGTAAGGATTGCTTAAAGCCAGGAATTCAAGACCAGCCTGATCAACATGGTAAGACCCCTACTCTATTAAATGTATATATTTATATATATATTTATATAGCTTGTCTGAAGGCTAGTGAGTTATCTCAACAGATTATTCACAGTTACATATTGAACTCCTTATTCTAGTCTTTCTTCCCTTCTCACTACTACACTTGACTAACCTAGTTTTTAAATTTAAAAATAATATTAACTGCTGCCTTCATTCATTATTTATTGTGTAACCAAAATAATTTTCTTCCATATATCCTTTTCACTCATTCATTCATCTATTTATAAATTTATTTAATAAGTTTAGCAAAATACCTATTATGTACCAGGATTGTTTCTAATTATGAGGATAGAACAATAAATAAGACAGGCAGGTCTCCATTCTCATGGAACATATATTCTAAAGGAGAGAGGCAGACAGTAAGTAACAACTTAAGTAACTTCAAATTGTGATAAACACTATAAAAGAAACAGAAATATTTATTTCACTGCTATTCTATGTGCAATACAGAAAAACAGACTACTGCCAAAAAAAACAGACAGGAAGAGCACCTTTAAGTGTGTGACAACTAAATTGTTATCTGAAGGATAAAAAGAGTCAAGAAAAGATCTGGGGAAAGAAATGTCTAGGAAGAGAGAATAGCAAATGCAATGGCCCTAAGGTAAAAGAGTGTAGCATGTTGCAACAACTAGGGAGAAAAAAAATGGCCAAAGTTTTCTGTTTGTTTTTCATTTTGTTTGAGATAGGGTCTCACTCTGTCACCCAGGTTGGAGTGCACTGATGCAAACAAAGCTCACTGCAGACTTGACCTCCTGGGCTCATGAAATCCTCCCACCTCAGCCTCACCAGCAGCTGAGACTACAAATGTGTACAACCAAGCTTGGCTAATTTCTTATTTTTTCTAGAGACAGGGTCTCGCTATATTGTCCTGGCTGATCTCAAATCCTGGGCTCAAACAATCTTCCCACCTCAGCCCCCGACACTGCAGGGATTACAGGTATGAGCCACCATGCCTAGACCAACAAATGTCTTGTTAATCCTGAAACATAGCAAACAAGGAAAATGATAAAAGATAGGAAGGATAGGGTAGGCACAGGCCAAATCATGTGGGCTGAAATAAAAATTACGTACAATTAAAAAATTACTAATGAGCCAGGCGAGGTGGCTCACGCCTGTAATCCCAGCACTTTGGGAGGCTGATGCAGGCTGATCACCTGAGGTTAGGAGTTCAAGACCAGGGTGGCCAACGTAGTGAAACCCCATCTCTACTAAAAATACAAAAATTAGCCGGGTATGGTAACGTGTGCCTGTAGTCCCAGCTATTCGGGAGGCTGAGGCAGGAGAATCGGGAAGCGGAGGTTGCAGTGAGCCGAGACCCTGCCATTGTACTCCAACCTGGGTGAGAGTGAGACTCCGTCTCAAAAAACAAACAAAAAATTAATGATTTTAACTAGCACAGTCACATTAACCAATTTACATTTTTTAAAATTCTAAAACATACACTTGTAACTATAATTTAATACATAATTCAAGGCTAAATTTGTCATCATTCAATTTGGAAACTTGGTATCAGACAAATAACATAATAATCTAGTCAGATTAGTCATTCAATCATTCATGAAGCATTTGGCCAGCTCCTGCTCTGTGCCAGATAGCTCTGGGCGTTGAAAATACAAAGATGATAGTGGTGATGTCACCTTCCACTCTGAGCAATAAATACAAAAATGATAATGATGACATCATCCTCTATTCTGAGTAATCTAGTTTTCTTAAGGCCTCAAAGCTGTAGTTCTCTAACTCTGCTGTGTATTAAAACCACCTTTAGTGCATGGTAAAAAATGCAAATACCTGGGTCCCACCTAGCAGTAATTCTAATTCAGTAGGTTTCCGATCATCCGTCACCATATTTTGAGGTGAAGAATGAAAAATAAAATCACCTGTAATTTATAAATTACATTTCTCCTTGGTCCTCTTAAGAATCATGCCAAAATGAGCCACTGTAATTAATGGAAGGAGTATGCACAACATGTGTTTGTAAGAAGGACTTGGAGTCAGTATGCAGAGAGAGATTAAGATTGTTCAGCAAGATTAAGATTAAGACTGATAAGAGTTCTTGGTTTCTTTTTTAATTGCCAAGAAAGAAGTAAAGATTTCTACATACCAGAAGTCTGCAGGACCTTTCAGAAAGTCCACCAAATCAGAACCATTTTCATAATAATACTAAAATAGTATTTGTTTCTTTCACTGTATTGGGATTTGCCCTGATGGCTCAAAAGTAACTTTGAGCCAAGCATGGTAGATCATGCCTGTAATCCCAGCTACTTGAAAGGCTAAGGCAGGAGAATCCCTTCAATCCGGGAGGCAGAGGTTACAGTGAACCAAGATGGGGGCCACAGCACTCTAGTCTGGGCAACAGAGCAAGACACCATCTCAAAAAAAGTAAAAAAAAAAAAAGGAACATTGGATAAAACTGTTGATGTGCAAAGCGTAGTGACTACGTTTTCACCACCACAAACTCACCAAAATTTTTAAGTCAGTTTCACTTAAGAATGTCCTTGATATAGCTGCAAATATTACACATTAAATCTCAGCCCTTAAGTATACAACTTCTTAATATTAATAGTCTGTGCACTTAAATGGGTAGAAAGATGGCTGTCTCAAGAAAAAGCATTTTACGAGTTGCAAGCTGAACCCGCTAGCTATGTGCTTTTTTACAGACTACAATTTCTCTTGAAAGAACAACTAGTTACTTAACCTTTGGTTTCCTTGAAAAGGTATAGTGGGCTTGTCACATCAGAGAAAGCAACCATCAATATTTAAGCTTCAAAAAAATTAGAATTTTGCAAAACTTTTTCTATCACTATGGGTTTAACAACTTCCCTAGTCAAAACATTTTTTATAGAGAATGGTGATGATATTAACAGGTGTGATTCTTTCACAATGAATAATGAAATGTGTAAACATTTAGATCTGCATAACTCAATAAACAAATATTTTGCAAATGACTAATGCATGACGTTAAAAAATCCTGCAAGGAAAAAAGATACAATCAAAGTGGAGGATAAACCAACTAGATTCACAGATCTTAATGAAAACTTTACTGAAATGTTTTCAAATTCTACACTGCAATTAATCTTTGAGAATCTACCTTTAAAAGGTACACCATCTTGATTGTTTTGACTGTTTCACAGATATATTAAATATATGTAACTTAGGTAACTTATCAACTATATCTCAATAAATGATTTTTTTAAAAAGAAACTACCACATGTTGAGTTTCAGTGTAGCATTAAATATGGCTATCCAGCCGGGCACGGTAGTGCGTGCCTGTAGCCCCAGCTATTCGGGAGGCTGTGGCCGGAGGATCTCTTGAGTCCAGGAGTTCTGGGCTGCAGTGTGCTATGCCGATGGGGTGTCCACACTAAGTTCAGCATCAATATGGTGACCTTCAGGGAGCGGGGGATCACCAGGTTGCCTAAGGAGGGGTGAACTAGGTCGGAAATGGAGCAGGTCAAAACTCCCATGCTCATCAGTAGTGGGATCGTACCTGTGAATAGCCACTGAACTCTAGCCTGGGCAACATAGCAAGACCCTGTCTCTTTTAAAATATATATATATATATACACATATATACACCTATATATATACATATATATATTATACGTATATATATATACGTATAATATATATATGGCTATCCATGGACAACATGGCGAGATGCTGTCTCAAAAAAAAATAAAGTCTCCAGCCACCTCTTAACTCATATAATACTACTCTGTTCCAGTTCACTTCATTTTAGCTGCAACGACCTTGCTTACTGGGTCTTCCTCAAATATTCCAGGCCTACTCTAGACTCAGAACCTTTAAATTTGCTGTACCCTCTGCCTAAAATTATCTATCCCCAGATAATGTACAATACAAGGCTTGTTTTTTTACCTAATTCAGGCTTTTTTTTTTTCTTTTTTGAGACAAAGCCTCAATCTGTCACCCAGGCTGGACTGTAGTAGTGTCAATATGGTTCACGGCTGCCTTCATCTCCTGGGCTCAGACAATCCTCCTGCCTCAGCCTCCTGTGCAGCTGGGACCACAAGCACATATCACTATATCACTACATCCAGCTAATTTTTTTATTTTTTGTAGAGACAGTGGTCTCATTTTTTTGCCCAGCCTGGTCTCCAACTCCTGGGCTCAAGCAATCCTCCCATCTCAACCACCCAAATGCTGAGATCACAGACCTGAGCCACAGTACCCAGCTCAAGTCTTTACTCAAATGTCATCTCAGTGAAGTCTTCCCTTTCTCACCCCCACACCCAGAAGGAGTTTTGCTCTTGCTGCCCAGGCTAGAGTGCAGTGGAGCCATCTCACTGTAACCTCTGCCTTCCAGGTTCAAGTGATTCTTCTGCCTCAGCCTCCTGAGTAGCTGGGATTACCAGCACACGTCACCACGCCCAACTAATTTTTTGTATTTTTAGTAAAGACAGGGTTTCATCATGTTGGCCAAGCTGGTCTCAAACTCCTGACCTCAGGTGATCTACCCGTCTTGGCCTCCCAAAGTGCAGGATTACAGGCGTGAGCTACCACACCCAGCGGAAGTCTTCCCTTTCAATGCTGTTTAATATTGCAACCTTGACCCCCGAGCACTGAACGTTCCCTATACACCAGCTATGCTTTGTTACTCTCCATAGCACTTTCCTCTATCTAACATACCATATTATTTTCCTTTTTTTCCCCATGACACAGTCCTCAGGATGTCCTGAGAACACGTACTTGATTTTTCTTACTTTATTCATCTGTCTTCTCCAATTAAATGTAAACTCCAGGATTTTTGAGTGTTTCATCCCCAGCTATTCACCTAGTCCCTACAGCAGTGCCTTTCACATAGCAGAACTCAAATTCGTTCAGTATATAATTACTGAATGTTAAATAAAGCTTCTTCAGAAGTGCCATAAATTCTGTTAGGTCCAATTCAAAGGCTACGACTAGCCTAATTAAATATACCAACTATTCTGTCAGGATTATATATGTATTATATTATACTTATAATTATATTATACTCAGTATTCCTAAGTGTTTTTAGTTATGCTTTTATTATTTTTATAATGTAAGATATTACTTGACAATTACAAGGATGTTTACTGATTCCAAATAGTTCAACTTCTCACTTACTCTGGCATAAATATAAATGGAAAAAACAGTAGTTTTCAGCCAGAAGTCCTGGGTTCATATCTTAGCTCTATAATTTACCAGTTACAATTCATGCAAGTCTCCTCCAAGTCTTAGTTTTTCTTCTTAACAGTAAGCTTTTGCCAGAAGTCCTGAGTTCAAAACCCCACTCTAACATTTACAAGTAATGTGACTCAGACAATGTAGCCTCCTCCAAGTTTTCATTTCTCATCTATAAAATGGCAAGGTGAGAATGGGATTAAAGATTTACCTGAGACCAGGCACTGTGGCTCATGCCTGTAATGCCAGTACTCTGAGAGGCCCAGGAGGGCGAATCACGAGTTTGGGAACCGTTTCTACCAAAAAACAAAAATTAGCCAGGTGTGGTAGCATGTGCCTCTAGTCCTAGCTACTAAGGAGGCTGAGGCAGGAGAATCTCTTGAACCCAGGAGGCGGAAGATGCAGTGAGCCAAGATCGCACCACTGCATTCCAGCCTGGACAACAGAGGGAAACTCTGTCCCCCCAAAAAAAAAGAGAGACTTGCCTTGCATTATCTACCCTATGCCTAATCATGGGGCTATTGTAACAATTAAAAATGTATGAAGAAATCCCTTATATAAGTCATAAATAATATACATGTATGAGTTAAATGTCCATACTGTAGTTTGTGGAAAATGAAGTAGGACAGAATAAGTTCAGTGTTTCAGGAAGCATATTTTACCATACCTCCTTGCCCCTAATACTAAACTCTAATCTTAGAGTCAGACTGGTTCTTCAACTTACTTGTTATACCTTAAGTAAGTTACTCAAGTCACTGTTTCCACATCCACAAATAGAAATAATACCTACCTTAGAGGATCTTCTTGATTGAGGATTATGTACATACATACGTAATATACCTATGAAATATTCTTAGTGAAAGACTTTTTGTAATTTTCATCTTCTTTCAAATGGAAAAAAACCTCAAAGGCAGTTGACATGAACCAAGAAGATGATTTTGACTTGGAAACTGCATATGAAAGGACAAGGAAACTGACAACTAGAAGTAATCAGGAAATTATATCAAGTTTCCTATTAAATTTGTTCTTTCCTTCTTGCCTTTCTCCAAGGTAAAATAGGATGGGATGCAAAAAAAAAAAAAAAATCAGCATACAGAAACCTGTATTTAGTAACATAAAAGAATTCACTTCAGAACTAAATTTTATTACATAGTCTTTCCAAAGAGAAATATTTTTATTATTCAGTTTTTCAATTTCTTACACACCAAGATCTATTATTTTGACACTCTTATCTTTTTTTACACAATCAAACTTCCAGCAAATATTTTACACTCCTCAACTTAAGGTACTTGCCAAAAATATTAAGTTGTAGTTTTCCAGCTATAGAACCCTGATATCATTTTATTAAATGTTTAGAAACATAGAATAAAAACAAAAACTAAAACTGCATTTAAGATATGTATTATATAAATACTTGAACAATGCTCTTTGAAATTATCAGACTTCGATATTTCCTCAATTCCATGACAGCCATGATGATAAGATGTACCATCAATAATATAACCACCATTTTCCAAGGGAAAAAAAGCAAAGAAATTTTCTATTTCTATTTCCAAGGGAAAATGTTACATAGGGTATATTAAATCTGTGAATATCCACCAAGGTATATACTTGATTTGTATACTTTTTCAATATATGTTTATTTCAACAAAAAAAATTTAGTGTAATGTCCTGCTGCTTCACAAACATAGCATACATATGCTGCAATTGATCTAAATATGAAAGATAAAAAGAGAAAGCTCTTAGGAAAAATCACAGGAGAGTAACTTCATGACATTCAGATAGGTAGAGATCTCATAAATGGGAAAGAATAAAAGCACTAACCAACTGATAAACTGGACTTCTTTAAAATTAAGAACTTGGCCAGGCATGGTAGCTTATGCCTGTAATCCAGCATTTTGAGAGGCCAAAGCAAGAAAACTGTTGAGATCAGGAGTTTGAGACCAGCCTGGGCAACAAAGTGAGACACCATCTCTACTAAAAATTTTAACAATTAGTCAAGCATGATGGTGCATGCCTGTAGTCTTAGAAACTCAGGAAGCTGAGGCAGGAAATCACGAGACCTGGAGTTTGAGACAGAGACCCCCATCTCTACGAAAAAAATTAAAATTATCCAGGCATGATGGCGCATGCCTATAATCCAAGTTACTTGGGAAGCTGAGGCAGGGGGATCACTGAGCCCAGGAGTTAGAGGCTGCAGTGAGTTGTGATCACACCACTGCCATCCAGCTTGGGCAACAAAGCAGGACCCTGTCTCAAATAAATAATAAGTAATAAACAAGTAAAAGTAAGAACTTTAATTCACTGACACACCAAGATTCTAAAAGAGCAGAAGATAGGAAGATAGTTGCAATATGTATCTAACTATCTAACAAAGAAATGTAGCCAGAGGTCAGGTGTGGTGGCTCAAGCCTGTAATCCTAGCACTTCAGGAGGCCAACGCAGGCAGATCACGAGGTCAAAAAATCGAGACCATCCTGGCAAACATGGTGAAGCCCTGGCTACTAAAAATACAAAAAAAAATAAGCTGGGCATGGTGGCATGCACCTGTAGTCCCAGTTACTTGGGAGGCTGAGGTAGGAGGTTGCAAGGAGCTGAGATCACGCCACTGCACTCCAGCCTGGCAACAGAGCACTCAAAAAAAAAAAAAATGTAGACAGAATGAGAACTGCAAGTCAATATAAAAAAAACTAAACCACCCAATAGAAAAAAAGGGCAAAAGATTTAACAGACACTTCGCAAAAGTAAAAATCCAATGGGCAATAAACATGGGGTCTCTAACATGAAAAAATGCTCAACTTCATTAATCATCAGGAACATACAAATTAAAACTTATACCCCACTATCACTATACGACCTTCCAGAATAACTAAAAAGACTGACAATACACCAAGTACCAGCAAAGATGAGAAGTAACCAGAGCTCTTATACACTGCTGGTAGGAGGGTAAATTTGTAAAACTTCAGCACAATCTACTGAAACTTACCATATGCATAGACCACGATCTAATTACTCCACCCTTCAAAAATCACATATACATTAACTACAAAAAGGTGTAAGTGTTAACAGCAACAAAACTAAAAAAAAATGTCTATCAATAGTAGAATAAACTGGTGTCATCACAACAGAATGAACAAAGTACAATATAACAGTATTAATCTTACAAATGTAATATTGAGCAAAAGAAGCTCAAAGGAGCCAGACACGGTGGCTCACACCTATAATCCCAACACTGTCAAAGGCTAAGGGACGAAGACTGCTTGAGCCCAGGAAGCTGAGGCTGCAGTGAGCTATGATAGAGCCACCGCACTCTAGCCTGGATGAGAGAGAGAGACTGTCTCCAAAAAAAAATGGGGGACTGGGCAAGGTGGCTCACGCCTGTAATCTCAGCACTTTGGGAGCTCGAGGCAGGCGGATCACCTGAGATCAGGAGTTCGAGACACAACCGACCAACAAGATGAAACGCCATCTCTACTAAAAATACAAAAATTGGCCAGGTGTGGTGGCATGTGCCTGCAATCCCAGCTACTCAGGAGGCTGGGGCAGGAGAATCACTTGAACCTGGGAGGTGGAGGTAGCATTGAGCTGAGATCGGGTCACTGCACTCCATCTTAGGAAACACAGCAAGACTCCATCTCAAAAAAAATAAAAATAAAAAAAGAAGCTCAAAGATACATACTATATAATTCCACTGATACAGAATTTGAAAACAGACAAAATTTTTCTATGGTCTTAGAATACAAGGAACATGGAATGTGGGGAGGGGCATCTGTTGGGAATTCCAGTACTGATGTGCTTCTTGAGTACTCATTATGTGAATGAACTTATTCATCTAGCTGAACTTGTTTAAAATATGTCATAGTTTAAAAAATCTTACACTCACTGGATCCCTAACTGGAAGAACAGGATTTGTAATCCCTTCCTACCACCAAGATTCTTCACCTATACCATGATTAGAGACAGGCAGCAGTCTTACATCAGCCCCACCACTCTGTAACATTGTATCCCTGTCCATATATGCTACCAATACCTACCACTTGCTAATTACCTACTATATGTCAAGCACTTTAACATTCAGCTAAATACTTAATGAGCATCTTCTATGTACAAAGCCCGTGTTGAGTACTTACAGTACAAAAAAATGAGTAAGACATGGTACCTGTCGTACCATATACACAGATAACAAGAAACATCAAAAACTACGCTGGGGAGGCAAAGCACCAGGGTAGGTTTCTTGGAGGTGTTAACACTTGAATCTTTAAAAGAAGAGTAGGAATTATCCTGACAAAGAACATTTCAACAGAGGGACCAGTTTGAGCAAGAGCACAGGGGTAAGAAATAGCATGATGTATTTAAAGAAATAATGCACAACTACTAGATGTAATTTAAGGTGGGTAAAACCAAAACTGGGTTGGGGTAGAGGACGGCGGTCATAGAGATAGAAAGATGATGGCAAATTATGAGGGGATGTAGACCTTATCCAACAGGCAAGATAAATGTGTAGTGTTTCCCAATCCAATGTTCTTCTTTTTTTTTCTTTTTCTACTTTTGAATCCAATATTCTTCCTCCTGCTCTAAACCTGCTCAAATACCCTTCCTTCAAAGCATAATTCAAATCCTACCCCAAAATGATTCTACCCTCCCTCCTCAGAAGTCCTAAAAGCATATCTCAAAATAATGGAATTAAAGCTGTAGCAAATCTGGAGAAAACAGACTACATTTCAAATATGCTGCTGGTCCAGAGATCAAACTTTTTTGACAACTGCTAACCTACACTAGCTAGGGTTTGGCCAATTTTTTCTATAAAGGGCCAAACAGTAAATATTTCAGATTTTGTGTGTCACATACAGTCTCTACAGCATTTCATGGTTTTGTTTGTTTTTTAAACAACCCATTAAATACTAACAACCATTCTTAGCTACTGGACCTTACCCAAAAAAAAAGGCGGGGGGGGGGGCTGCAGCTAATTAATCCCTGCTACACACCCATAGAGAAGTGAGAATGAACCTTCCTATAAGATTAATTTTCCTAAAATGTTACTTGTGTTACACTAGTCCCCTACTCAGAAACCTCCATTGGTCCTCTCTCTCTACTGAATAAGTCCAGTCCCAATGATGTCTGGCATTCATAGGCCATCTGTACTCTAGGACCAGTCTACTACTCCAGGCTCATGAACTATGCCCCTGTGTACCTTCCATTCCTATTAAACTGAGCTATCTACATTTACCTGCCTCTGTTATCTATGTGGTGTTTCTCAATCCAATGTTCTTTCCTCCTGCTCCAAACCTGCTCAAATACCCTTCCTTCAAAGCATAACTCAAATCTTACCCCAAAATCATTGTACCCTCCCCAGAAGTCCTAAAAGCATATCTCAACTTACCTGATATTTATTTGCTGCCCTAAGTTATTGCTTACTTGAAATAAACTGAAAATTCCTTGAGGGCAGGAAATAATTTATGTTACTCTCTATCAATGGATCCAGCACATAACGAGGGGTAAACACAAAGAAGATATGTGTGTGTATATATGCAATATTTATATATGTACCCACAAGCTTTTTCCTGAAATAGCCAGATAACTAAAACAAATGTGTTTTCACCCTTATTTATGTCAGTAATAAAACACATTAATTCCATGGACACAACTTGAATGCTGTAGGAACCACAGAATGACAAACCACAAAAACCCCTCCATCTCCTATTACTCACACTTTTTTAGGACTAGTATACTAGAAAAACAACACAATACAAGTACAATTTTTCCAATGGTCAATGTTATCAATGTAGGTACACTGGCAAATATTAAAGACAAATGTTACTAGACCCAGTCAAAGTTTACTTATCTGTAGTTGTACTTCATTTATTTTTAAATACAAAATAAGCTTTTACAATTAAATTGCTTCAAATCTACCCTCAATTATTACTCGTTTAAAAAGTCAAACACCAACTCCCCCCCAAAAAAGTCACATATATGGCCTTAATTTTAAGGTTCTCTATGACAATGTATATTATCAAAAATGGCATTATTGGTTTCACTCGGAATTTAGGGAAATAAGAATACATTTAGAATTTTTAAGAAAATAGTCCACTTTAGTTCATTGTTGATAAGTAACAATAATCACAGAATGTTCTGAGCTGGATTAACGAATTCATCTTAGATCTGAAAAGACAAACCAAATAACTCTTTCCAAATCCTATGCCCTATAAGATTATAAAAAGAATGTTCAAGAATCTATAGAAATTCCTTCAGGATCACTTGCCCACATTCCAATGCAAACTACAACAAAAGTTTAAAACATTGAACTTCTGGCAGGGCACAGTGACTCATGCCTGTAATCCCAACACTTTGGGAGGCCGAGGCGGGCAGATCACGAGGTCAGGGGTTCAAGACCAGCCGGGCCAAGACTGTGAAACCCCGACTCTACTAAAAACAAAAAGGTTAGCAGGACATGGTGGTACGCGCCTGTCATCCCAGCTACTGCGGAGGCTGAGGCAGGAGATTCACTTGAACCCTGGAAGCAGAGGTTGCAATGAACTGAGATAGCGCCATTGCACTCCAGCCTGAGAGAAGCAAGACTCTGTCTCGAGGTGGGGGGGGGGGGGGGCGGGGAACCACTGAACTTGAACTTCTCTACATCTTTTCCATTCAGTGAACAAGAATAATTTAACTGGCATTCTCGGGCTGTGAGAACTGATTAAATGTTTATGAAGTACTTTAGGACCATGAAGGAAAGCCACTGTAACCATAAAATGTCATATTCGCTTAATGCAAAACTATAGCTACCTGTAGCTATACCTGCAAATCCAATCCTCACAATTCTTTTGTGTCTCCCTAACACAGAAAATCTTCAGTGAGTCATGTATTTCAGTAAGGTACATGTATTTAATGAGCTAGTTTAGCAACCGAAGAGAAATGAATTTTCTTCCAAATCTTTGCTTTCTCACAGGCCATGTCATTCTCCAAGCCAATTCTTTGCAAAGAGAAACATGATCCGATTCATATGGGGAAGTTAGGTCTGGTTATTGATAAGCCAATACCAAATGACTGAAGACTATGAGGAATCACAGTAGAACTTTGTTAACATACCAGAAATGTGACTCCTGAAAATAGTCCCAGAAAACAGGCGTTCTAACAAGCACTTTAAAGGGAAAGTCCCTACACTCTTAAAGAAAGAACTCTAAAATGTTTTTAGACAGCGGAGACAAGACTCAACTCAAAGATTAAACTTAATTCATTAGGTAGTTCTATCACCTGCCTGGTGTTCGGCGACCAGTGACTAGGGCGACTGCTCAGGAAAAGTGCTGATGCCATCTCCAGCTGCCCCTTTGGTGAATGACAGTAACAATGCAAACACTGACAAAAGAGCTGGGAGGCCCCCCCAAGCCCCTGCTTAGCAGTACTTCCACCCCAGCCCCAGCATACAAAGCGGCAAATCCCTGAAAGGCCCTCCTCTGACAGATCTCCCCATGCAGAAACCTCGCCTGTAGTCTGGTAACGTGAAAAAGTGCTACCCTTCACTCCTTGCAAGACAGCAGAGCCCTTTAAAAGGTGCGGAAAAACGCTGCCTCCTTCTCCAGCGCCAGAGCCACCGGGCGAGAAGACTTCCTCATCGGCTGCGGGCGCGGGGGCTCGGGGACAGACCGACAGAAACTCCCTCTGGGCGAGGGCGCTCCCCGGACCCGCCGGCGGGAAGGCAAGGAAGACCGGAGAGAAAAGGAAAGGGTCCCTGGCTAGGTAGAAGGGCGGATGGTTCGCTGCCCTGAGACGTGGGGAAGCGGGGCTCGGCGCCGGGCACACCGTCCTTCCCGGGGGTGGCAGGGGCCGGCCGCCCCCCTTCCGCGAGCCGGAGGCGGCGACAAGTCGGCTCAGGTCCGGAGCACGTTCCTTCCTCGAGCCTGGTCCCGAGGGAGGGCGCAGGCTGCCGAGGCGGCAACTCTCCCTCTCGCCCAACTCCGGCGAGCTTGAGGCCGGCCGTCCCTGAGCTGCCTGCGCGGGATGCCCGCCGCCCGGATGGGGGAGGCGGCGAGGCCGGCCTCGGCTCGCTCACTCCCCACGCGGTCCGGCCCGGCGGCCCGTCCGCGCCCTCGTCCCCGCCCGCCGCCGCGCGGGGCCGGGCCGCCGACCTCGGCCGGCCGGGCGCGGAGCCAGGCGGCGGCGGCAGCGGGCGGGCCGGCGGCCTGGGGCCCTACCTGAGGCTGTGTACCAGCTCCCGGCGTGACTGGCTTCCCGGCAGACCACTCGGTTGGACATCTTGGTGCCTGTGCCGCCTATGGTGCACGAGGATGAATGAGGAGGCGGCGGCGGCGGCAGCAGGAGCGGCTCCGCGAGGGGACGAGACACCGCGGGCCCAGCCCAGGAGGAGGCGGCAGCGGGGAGGGATCAGCCCGGCCCAGGAGGAGGAGGAAGAGGAGGAGGCGGCGGCCCAGGAGGAGGAGATGGCAGCCGGGGCGGTGGCGGCGGCAGCAACAATCACCACAAACTCCGGCGACCGCCGGAAGATGGGGCCCACGGTGGCTTCACCGAAGCCCAGAAAGCCCTGGCCCCAGCCCCCGGCGTCGCCGCTGCTGCCCAGCCGGGGCTGGTTCCGCCGAGCCGCCCCCACGGCCCCCCTCCCCTCCCAGCTGGCCTCCCGAGCCACCGCCGGTGACCCCACCCCCGTGACTCCGCGCCCGCGCCCGCCCCCGCCCCCCCCCCCCCGCGGGGCTCCCCGCACCCACCCCAACCCCTGGCAGGGCCTTCCAGCCCGGCCGCCAGCCGCCGGCCCCGCCCCGCTCCTCCTCCCGGCCGCACGGTGAGGTTAACGGCGGAAAGCGGACAGGCCGGACGGCATCTGGGGTCGGGCAGCCCCGCGAAGAGGCAGAGGTGGCTGCAGCTCCGCGCACACAAAAGCCCAGGACCGGGGCCTGAACCGGGGAAGGCAGACGCGGAGAAGAGCCAACGCTTCCTTACTCGCCACTCTAACGGGTCCTGCCCACTGAGCATGCCCAGCACCGCTGCCAGGCCCGGCGAGGAATCTCAACGTGCACGCTCCGCTCTCCGGGGTTTAGCGGCAGCAGAGGCTGGGAGGTGGGGGCAGGGCGCGGGGAGCAGGACGCAGCCGCAAGGCAAGCCCCCTCCCCCAGCCAACTTCCTCAAATGGAGGGCACCTAGGGCTCGTGGATGCGGCTTTCCACGAGGACAGTCCGGTGGTATTCCCCACCATACACAGGCATCTTCCATGGATTCGCACCCCCAAGGTCTCATTCCTAGGGTGGCCACGCCGGGAAGTTCATTTGTAGAAGCAGGCACGTGGTAAAGTGTGCCTGTGGTCCTGCAAATGCTAGTTTTTGCTTCACAGGGTCACCCTTACCACCTAATGGTGGCTTTGACACTGTAACCATTCATCTTGTTTCATAATGTATTTATGTAGGTGCATGTTATCTCCCTAACTAAAGTGTTTGATACAACTAGTCACAGTTATCCTCAATTGTAAAATGAGGACACTCAAGGAGTGTACCTAGGATTATAAAAGATGCTGAATGTGAAGAGCCTAACAGGGCATACAACAAATATCATTTCCACCCTTGTCATCTTACAAATCCCATCTTACAAATCCACATAAATGTCAGGAATAAAGAATTTCTTTACAATTGTGTAAGAATCACACAGTAAAGGAGGCTATATCTTGGATCTCCGAGGAAGTGTTATTGTTACAAAGTACACCATTGCAAAAGTAGGAACAGAGGAAGAGAAAGTTGCATACATCCAATGAAAGTTTTGGGATAAACACTATAAAATGTAACTCCAGAGGCATGGTACCTCCTGCCTATAATCCCAGTACTTTGGTGGCCTGAGGCAGTAGGATTGTTTGAGACCAGCCTGGGAACACAGACCCTGTTTCTATATTTTGATTTTTTAATCCGGGCATGGTGGCTTCACCTGTGGTCCTAGCTATATGGGAGGTGGAGGTGGGAGGGTCACTTGAGCCCAGGAGGTCGAGGCTACAGTGAGCCATGATCACACCACTGCATTCCAACCCAGGCAACGTAGCAAGCAAGACCCTGTCTCAAGAAAGAAAAGAAAAAAATTATATCTGAGTTTCACACTAAACAGGCCCCTGACAGAATCCAAAGTAGAAAACTAGCTGTCTAATATTCAGGTTTACTTTTTCTTTTTAAAGGTCTATTTTGTTTCCTCTCCTCCTCCTACCTTCTCCAACTTTAGGGTCCAAGCGATTTTGTGCAAAATCCCTGTCCTAAAGCCTAGTCAATTACTAGAGCACTTCTAACTTTCATGCCTTTTTCTAATTAGGCTAAAATCTCTACTATATATTTGTTTACTCAAATTTTACTCTCTCACTTCACCACTAACTGGCACAAAATATGCAACAAAAAAAAATGGGCATACCACGTAGCCAAAGCCACTTTTTTTTGGGAGGGGGGATGGAATCTCTCTCTGTTGGCCCAGGCTGGAGTGCAGTGGCCTGATCTTGGCTAACTGCAACCTCACCCTCTCAAGTTCAAGTGATTCTCTTGCCTCGGCCTCCTGAGTAGCTGGGATTACAGGTACCCAACACCATGCCCAGATAATTTTTTGTATTTTTAGTAGAGATGGGGTTTTACCATGTTGGCCAGGGTGATCTTGAACTCCTGACCTCATGATCTGCCTGCCTCAGCCTCCCAAAGTGCTGGGACTACAGGCATGTGCCATCGTGCCCGGCCCGATGCCATTTTAGAGGTAACAGAAAAAGGAAGGGTGGAGTTCTGGTTACATATTACTCTTCTGAGAGTACCAAAACTCAGTGATCATTGATGAAATGGTAAACTTTTTGTTGTAAGTTTCAAAAAAAACTGTCCTAAGTGCTTCTATGATGACAGTTCTTATAGTTATTTATTGCTGATTTTGTTTCTATGGAAAAGAGGTGTAGGGTGTGGAGGAGGGGCGGGGATTGGATACAATGAAACAAAGAAAGCTTATTATTTCAGGCCCTCCAAATTAGAAAGTCAGATTTCAGTCCTGGCTCTGTCATCCATCAGCTGTGTTATCTATGGGCATCTAGTAATTTAACCTTTTCAGGCCTCAGTGTTATCGGTCAAATGCAAACAGGAGTAATATCTAACTCATAGGCTTGCTGTGAGGATGATTAAGTTATGTTAAAATGCTTTATAAGCTGTTCTTTATAAATATTTGTTATTCTTATTATCCTCTGCTCCTAGCAACAATCCTAGGTCTCATTCCAAACTAGTAATCTGATTTAAAATTCTGCTTTCTCCCTATTAAAACACTCTACTGAAATTTTCTTGCTGGTCAAACTGAATAAAGACCACAATGCAATTGAACTGAAAGGTTAACAGATACTTCATGGCTCTCAACATATGCCACAATTATTCCCCCGTCTACCTTATTCTAGCTACCTTACTCTAGTATGCTCTTGAAAAAAGTTGAAACTATTCATTTTATTCACCTCCCCTAAATTAAGGAAAATTCATATAATGTAAAATACTTAGTTTGTATTTTAGGAGAAGCTTATTTGGCAATACTGTACAATCCTCATGTTATTATCAACAATTTCCATTATTTCAACCAGTGATTTTGGTTTGACACTCCATAACAATTATTCATAGAAGAGGGCAAGGAGGAAACCTTTATTAACAGACAATCCTTATGAAGTACAGACTTCATGAATTAAGAAGGAAGGCCGGGAGCAGTGACTCACACCTGTAATTCCAACACTTTGGGAGGCCAAGGCAGGTGGATCACGAGGTCAGGAGTTCAAAACCAGCCTGGCCAACAGGGCAAAACCTCTGTCTCTACTACAAATACAAAAATTGGCCAGGCATGGTGGCGGGCGCCTGCAATCCCAGCTACTCAGAAGGCTGAGGCAGGAGAATTGCTTGAACCTGGGAGGTAGAGGTTGCAGTGAGCTGAGATCGTGACATTGCACTCCAGCCTGGGTGATAAGAGCAAGGCTCCATCTCAAAAAAAAGAAAAGAAATAAGAAGGCACCATTAGATCCCAGAACCCAACGTTAATACACATTAATATTCATGCTTCTGAAACAGTATGTCCATTATTTACTGCAGCAGTCTGTAGTAGCAAACAACTAGAAACAACCACAATGTCCATCAGTGTGAAACTTGTTAAATTAGGATATACACATACATCCATTAAAAAGAATGAAGTGGCTGGGCACAGCGGCTCAAGCCTATAATCCCAGCACTTTAAAAGGCTGAGGCAGGAGGATCACTTGAGGCCTGGAGTTCGAGACCGGCCTGAATAACATAGCAAGACAAAAAAAAAAAAAAAACCCTAAAAAAATTTTTAAAAATTAGCCAAGCATAGTGGCACATGCCTATAGCCTCAGCTACTTGGGAGAAGTAGATTGCTTAAGCCCAGGAGTTTCAGGCTGCAATAAGTTACAATTGCACCACTCTACTCCAGGCTGGGCAACAGAATGAGACCTTATCTTTAAAAAAAAAAAAAAAAAAAAGAATAATTAAATGGCACTATATGCTAGTATGGAAAGAGTTTCAAAAAAGTGAAAAAAGTGGCCAGCCACGGTGGCTCATGCCTATAATCCCAGCAGTTTGGGAGTACAAGGTGGGTGGATCACAAGGTCAGCAGTTCGAGACCAGCCTGACCAACATTGAAACCCTGTCTTTACTAAGACTACAAAAATTAGCCAGGCGTGGTGGCATGCACCTGTAATCCCAGCTACACAGGAGGCTGAGGCAAGAGAATCATTGAACCTGGGAGGCAGAGGTTGCAGTGAGCAGAGATCATGCCACTGTACTCCAGCCTCAGTAACAAAGCAAGACTCCATCTCAAAAAACAAAAGTGAAAAAAAGCAAATTACAGCATGTATAAAGTATGCTACCATTTGTATAGAAATGAATACTTTGTATACCTGCATATGCATGGAATACTTCTAGTAGGTAATTTGGGCGGCTCAGATGGAAGGATGAAAAAAGGATTTAACCTTTACAATGTATATATTATGTATCTTTTGTATTTTGTGCCATATACATATACTACTATACCAAAAAGAAAAAAAAACTCTATTTTTACATCTTAAGCTTGATTTTGAATCTACATGGTGATATTAAACTGATCATTTTTAGATTCTACTTATCCACAGCTGACAGCTTTAGAAGCTCCCTAACACTGAGAGCCCTATAGATCAGAAAAATATTCTACAATGGTAACACAGCGTTTTGAACAAATCAAGAGAAGAGTTTAACACAGAGAGGACCTTTTGATTTGAACTAAAACTGGCATTCTAACCTAGTATCAGTCAACTTTGCCCCTGTCTACCTTAGAAGTCAAACTTAATAAATAACACTTATTAAATACTGTGTATCCAAACACTGGACTAAGTACAGTAGATATTTAATAATTCCTGTAAGATAAAAATTTATTCATTTCCAAAGTTTTGGAATAAAATCTTTTACATAGAGCTTTTTTCCGTGTTTATTAATATTTAGGAGTCTCAGAAATGGAATAACAGAGTCAAAAGATGTAAGGAGCCAGGCTCAGTGGCTCACACCAGAATCCCAAAATTTGTGGAGGTCAAGGCAGGAGGATCACTTCAGCTCAAGAGTTCAAGGCCAGCCTTGGCAACACAGCAAGATCTCATCTTTACTAAAAATGAAACAAATTAGCCAGACATGGTGGCACACCCCTGTAGTACCATGTGCCATAGTACCAGGATTGCTTGAGCCCAGGAGTTCAAGGCTGCAGTGAGCTATGAACATGCCACTGCACTCCAGCCTGATAGAACAAGACCCTGTCTCTAAAAACATAATAAATAAATAAATAATATTTTCTTCAAAAAAGCTTTGTTAAAGGCTGGCAAGGTTTCATTTTGTTTTTTTTCTGTTTTGTTGTTTTTGAGACGAAATCTTGCTCTGCTGCCTAGGGAGCAGGGCAGCGCAATCTCAGCTCACTGCAGACTCCGCCTCCGAGGTTTCAGCGATTCTCCTGCCTCACCCTCCCGGGTAGCTGGGATTACAGGCACGCACCACCACACCCAGCTAATTTTTTATTTTTAGTAGAGATGGGGTTTTACCATATTGGCTAGGCTGGTCTTGAACTCCTGACCTCGGGTGATCTTCCTGCCTGAGACCAGCCTGACCAACACAGAGAAACCCCGTCTCTACTAAAAATACAAAATTAGCCAAGAGAGGTGGCGTGGGCCTGTAATCCTAGCTACTCAGGAGGCTGAGGCAAAAGAATTGCTTGAACCCAGGAGGTGGAGTTTTCGGTGAGCCAAGATCACACCATTGCACTCCATCCTGGGCAACAAGAGCGAGACTGTCTCAAAAAATAAAAATAATAAAAATAAATAAATAAAAGTTTAATATTCTTCCTTTAAGTGGATCAGAACTAGGTAGATGATCTCGTGTTATCCAATCTACTCTTCTCCCTTTTTTTTTTTTTCAATTCAAGGTTTCTGTTTCCTCCAGGAATCTATTCCTAATTCATTCTACTGGTCCTCCCAACTAATCCACCCACCAACGTAATTCATGAACTCACTCTTAGGAGATACAGTAGGT